CTATCATGACCACAACTATCTCGGGAGACTGTTCAGATGGACCTTTGAGCGTGTCACGGGTATAGAGGTCACAACTGATTCAGGCGATCACTATCTGGGATTAGATGATGATCTGGATTCAGAAGATTTAGCCGAAATAAAGAGCTGGCATGAGGTTGATGACTAGGACTGGTCTTCAGTGTTGGATTATGTTTGAGACTGCTTTGGGACTTATATTTGTTTATGTGATGTAAATATTATTTTAAGTCCCATATATTTTAACAAATGATTTGTAAATTATTATACTTAATATAAGGAATGCATATTTGGTCTTAAATTGAATATTTGACTATATTTTATTACAATTTTTAAAAGTATTGTTATTCAATTTATAGTGCATGTATGATGTATATGGAAAAATTTTATTTACACCAAATTTATTTATAGAATGACATTTAGTATTTCGTTATAATAAGATTAATAAATTTTTCTTTATGATATTGATTATTAATTATTATTATTGTCATACCATTTATAATATAGATTATGTGAATTTTTGTATAAATTATTATATCTTAAGAAAAATTTCTTTTATTAGCTATAATAAAGTCTATTATACACAAAATTCATATTTTATTTCAAATTATGAAGGATAAAATATACATTGTACGAATTTTTTATTTTAGGATGTTACACTCACCACCTTACGTTTTCTCCATATATTCACCGTCTCCAGACTTTATACCCTCAGTGTATCTCTGCAACTATTCACACTAGATCCAATCCATATTTGACTTTCAAAGTCATTCTCAGAGTTATCATTTCTCTCATTCATAAGATCGTACTTAGTAAAACACTTCTAGACTAATTCCACTCCAATCCATTCCACTCATACCCTTATTAATGTAGTTACAAGTATTAAATCATTCAGGTCCATATCATATTTTTCCATATCATTTCATTCAGATATATTCATAAATCACATCATTTAGCAAGTTTGATAATATTTCACGCTGAGTGCTCATCATATAATGCATATGTCAATCATTTAGTCTACATAAACAGTCCAAACAATCAAACAAACATCTTTTCATTCATTATTCATACAATAGATATCTCAACCACATATTCTCATAAAATGTTCATGTAACAGTGCTCCATAAGCACAAAATAAATACTATAATATAACAATAAAATAAATCCCTCCTTACCTCAAAGATGAGTTCACAAAGAGATACTGAAGAAGATTATAAATCAACTATAGAATTTCTCCTGAATACCAAGAGATATCCATAAAGAACAAAAACAGAAAAAACAATCGGAGAAAATGAATTTTAATCCGAAGAAACTTACTTGGAGTTGTTTCGAATCAACGTTTAAGCTTGGATTTGAAGTGAAATAGGAGTTTCTGAGGTTTTTATCTGGAGAATAGAAGAGAGATTTCAGAGAATATGAGAAGGGAACATGAGTTTAGAATGAAATAAAATTTTTATGCTGAAAATCTCTTAAATACCCTTCAGCCTCGCATGCTCTCCCTTAAGCGAGGAACAGCTCGCTTGAGTGATAGACATCTCACTTGAGCGACGGATATCTCACCTGAGCGAGATATGCAGACAGTGGTCTCGCCCACTATTTTCTGATATGCTCGCTTGAGCGAGATGGCGTCCAGAGAACAGGACATTTTTCCTGTGGGTCCTTGCCTAGCGACCCATCTCGCTTGAGCGAGATCCCAGCTCGCCTGAGCAAGATCACTCTCGCTTGGAAAAGGTGACAGTTGGACTGAATTTATCTTATCTCGCTTGAGCAAAATAGCACTGCAACTTTGTATTCATGCATGCTCAGTCTCGCTTGAGCGATATTTACCTCACCTGAGCAAGATTTCCTTCACCAAAATTCTTCCAAAATCCTCTATACTCTCTTCTAAATGCACTATAATACTACTTAATATTAAAAAAATATATAAATTATCAAAAAATGAAAAGAGGGTATTACAGTCATGAATAAAGATGAAAAGCAAACTAGAAGGAAGATCTTGTTCTTTAAGTCTGATTGCTTAAAGCTCTAAATCCCCCAAGAATGTGCTAGAGATCCCGTGTGAAAGTGAAGAGAGAGTGACATAAAAGCTCAAAAGTGAAGTGGAAAACTGGATGATAAGTCGCTGCCCCTAAGCCTTCTTTAATAGGGTTTTAAGCCCCTAAATCATGTTGAGTGTGTGATTCACACAGGTGAGCACGATCGTGCCATATGAATGCATGATCGTGCTTATATTGGAGACATGGGCATGCATATTCGCAGCATGGTTATGCATGCTAACAAAGCATGAGTGTGCTGATAAAAAAAAATTAGGCATGCATTATCTTTAATGGCCTAATTTTTTTGAAATTATGTCCAAAATATCCAAAAGTTCTTTGAATCTTCCTACGTGTTCATCTACAACAATTAACAGGGTAATTACTATAAAATTCATTCAAATCAATAATAAGTGCATATGAACATGCTAAAAAACTATGTGAAAATACAGACTCATGAGTTAATAATTGATGTAAAAGTTGATTATTTACTACATCGACTGTATTTATATCTATTAAAAAATTAATATAAAAAGTCATTTTTAAATGACGTTGAATGCCATTTTTGTACAAGTGAGATAGAATTGGTAATTTAATTTGTAAGAGTTAATGTTTTTCTTTTCTATAACAATGTTTAACAAATAAAAGAGAATTTTCTAAATAAAAAAATATTTTTCTTCATTAAAGTTTATATATTTTGCAAAATGATTAAATTTTAAAAATTTGAAGATAATACAATGAAAATCATTTTTTATGTACCTTTATATTTTTTATTTTCTTTCGTGAGGTTGAAATTATATATTAAAAAAGTACAAGGTGTGATATTTTTTTAAACATCAATATAACGGTAAGATACATGTTATAAGTTCATCGATTTACGAGGATATATGTAGATGTTATTTATTTTATTAATTATAAATTAATATGACTATCATAATATGAAAAATATAATATGAACATAAAATTCATTATAAAACTTTTACACTTTAGTCTTTTATTTCAATTATACTATTAATTTAATCATTTAATGATTTACTTAAAATTAATTTGGTCATCTTAATATTGAATGATATAAAAATAGGATAAAATTTAGGGTATTTTAAAGTATTAATAAAAAATATTAAAAATCTACAACTACCTTTAACACTTACTCTTTAATTGATGTGAACTTTAATTTATTTATTTTTTACTATAAAATGGAGCTACAAGTTCAAAAGGAAAAAACTAAGATAGCATCCTAAAGGTGCAAAGACTTAAAGAATCTATGTTAACAAGGGCTAAAGATATATTAGGGTCCTATCAAAACAAGAAAATTAAAAATATCTCTTAAACACCTACTTTAGCAAACTTATCAACACATTAATTAGCTTTTCTATATAGCTTACTAAATCTGATAAGTGAACCTCAAATTTTGATTAAAAATATCTAAAAAATTATATCTGTTAATTTTAATATAATATATATATATATATATATTTAAAATCTATAAAATTAATTCTAACAAAAAAAAATCTATAAAATTAATAACCATTTTATTATCTTTATATTGTTGTTTAATTTTTAAAAAATTTAATACAATTAATCTAGTAATATATAATTATAACTTTCAGTTGATTCATTGATAATTGCATTCTATATTAAAATTGTTGATGATGCAAAAGCAAGAACGCTAACATATATAAACAAATTTTTTCTTGTATGTTTGTGTCTATATTATGTGACATATCTGTTCATTTAAAGTAGAATAAATTATATGCAGTAAACACTAAAAATTATACCTGCATTCAATTACTTCAGTTAATACGTGTCATTATCACAAAGGAAAATATAGAACTAAATTTTGAAAAAAAAATTAAAATTATTTTAATTCATTGATCATAAAAATATCATAATTGTTATTTCAAATACAAATTAAAATAATAAATTGATAATATTTTTATTGATTTAAAGAGTAAATTAGCATCAAAGTTTAAATAAGGTTTCGGTGTTTCAAAAGTTTACATTGTTTTTAGTTGGCCCCTCCCTTTTAACTTTTCTCAATATAGTCCTTCAAAATTTATTTATTTTTAATTTGATACATTTATTAATAATTTATTAACTTATTTTATTATTTATTTACATAACATCCAATTTAATTCATATAATTTGACTAAGGCAATATGAATGAATATGTCATTAATAACATTAAAAATTTTGTATTTTAAAATGATATTTTAGTTATAAAGTGAAGTCTTTTAAATTTAAGATTTAAAAATACGAAAAAAAATGAAAATATAGATACTACATTATCATTAACATTAATTCTATGTCATATTATTTGAGTCAAGTTGAATGCTACATTAGTATATAATAAAGAAAAAATAACTAATTATTAATAGATGAACTTTAAAAAAAAAAAATTTAGAAGACTTATTTAATAAAAATAAAAAATAAAAGATCAAATAAAAAAAATCACAAATTATGGGAGATGAAAATCTTATTTAACCCTTAATATCAATTATTTAAAATGTTAAAATTAATACCATTTTTCATAACTCAGATAAACTTTTTAATTTTCTTTCATAAACTAGAACACATTCCATGTATATCTGAAAAATAAATAGATGTTTACTCGATAAAAAGCATCATTAAGAGTAAGAGAGAAAGAGAAAAGGTTAACTGAATACTACTTCAAAGGTAATTTGGTCAACAAAAATATAATCTGTTCATGCCTAAGTTTGTTTTCCCACCTTTTACTCTCCACCATCCAAATTAACAAACTAAAATTAGAATAAATTGAACTTTCATGTTCTTCCTTCTATTATGTCGCATATCAAAAATGTTGTTTGGAAATGATATCATTTTCCTTCTGCACAACTTTTCTTGGAAAAAGAGAGAGAAAGAACTGTGCAAGAAAAATCAAAACCCTGATAATGTGGGAATAAATCAAAATTTGACATAACTTGAATCACCATGCCAAGCAAGCTAAGGAAGGCAATTGGAGCAGTGAAGGATCAAACAAGCATAAGTCTAGCCAAAGTTACAAATGCAGCGAATCTTGAAGTGATCATCCTAAAAGCCACAACCCATGATAAGAATCCGATTGAAGAGCGTTATGTGAATGAAATTTTGAGCATTGTATCCTCAAACAAAGTCTATGCAGCTGCATGCGCCCACTGCATAGGCAAACGCATTGGCAAGACCCGCAATTGGGTTGTTGCCATCAAATCTCTCATGCTTGTCCTTAGAATTTTTCAAGATGGTGATCCATATTTTCCCAGGGAAGTCTTCCATGCAATGAAGAGGGGTGCCAAAATCCTCAACCTTTCAAGTTTCAAAGATGATTCAAATTCTAGTCCTTGGGATTACACTGCATTCATTAGGACATTTGCTTTGTACCTTGATGAACGCTTGGATTGTTTCCTAACCGGAAAGCTTCAACGCCGATTCGCTTATAAGATTTGGTTTCATGAGAATAATCAAAGGAACAAGGCATCAAATGAGCCAGGTATCAAAGACATGAAACCTACAATGGTGCTTGATAGAATTGAACATTGGCAAAGGTTATTGGATAGAGCTATAGGCACAAGACCAACTGGGTCAGCCAGGACAAACCGTTTGGTTCAAATTTCTCTCTATGCTATTGTGCAAGAAAGCTTTGATCTATACAGAGATATCTCTGATGGCCTTGCTGTTGTCTTAGATAACTTCTTCCATTTGTCCTTTTCAGCATGTGCTGCTGCATTCAATGTTTGTGTTAAATCCTACAAGCAATTTGATGACTTATCTGCTTTCTATTCCTTTTGTGCAAACATTGGGGTTGGCAGGTCCTATGACTACCCAAGGGTTCAAAAGGTTTCTGAAGAACTTATGGTGACATTACAAGAGTTCTTAAAGGACCAAGCTTCATTTCCTACCAGTAATGGTTCAAAACACTCCCCCTTTCCTGTGCCAAAACACCCTATGAGTTCAAGTTCATCCCAAGATGAAGCTAGTGAAAGATATGGGACAGTTGAAAAGTATTTTGAAACTGGATCCGATTTTGGGTCTCGGTGTACATCATTGGAAGATCTCATGTGTACTACTGATGTTGCTACAAGTCCTAGGAGATCTTTTGAACAAGAAATGTATTCTGAGCATTCAGACCATGAAGAATCACAATGTGAAGATTATGCTAGTGCAAATGGTTCTGGCTCTGCCAAATCATTACCAGCTGATCAAACATCAAGGTCCAGTTTGGATGTGGTAAGTTTTGATGAATGGCAGCAGGAGCTGCAACAAAATCAAACAAATGAATGGGAGCAGCAAAACACAAAAGCATGTTCCGACAATAACTCCATAGATTGTTGGGAGTTAATGTTGGCTGAGACAGTAACTGCACCAACTGAAACATCATCCGAATTGGCAAATGGGTTTGACCCATTTGTCACCTCATTTGATGAAGCCTCAGGACCTCAACACAATTACAATCCATTCTTGGATGACACAGATGCTGGTCCTCCTCCTACCACCACCAGTGATGGTTTCTGTGATGTTTTTGATGTGGCACCAACATTTAAAGCAACAACCTTTTATGCTCAAGATCCTCTGGCATCAACCTTCTCTGATCAATGTTCTAGTTCCACAGCAAATCTTGATATACTTTTTGGTGACATAAATCCAAATGAGACAATAGTGGAGCCAACTTTCAGAGCTCAAGGTTTCTCTGCAGAGACCAACATGATAGTGCCACCAACTTTTAATTCTAGAACTTCTGATAACATGATTGCAGCACCAAGTTTTCAATCTCAATGTTCTTTTAAGAATGATTCAACGCCAACTTTCAGAGCTCAAGGTTTCTTTACAGAGACCAACATGATAGTGCCACCAACTTTTAATACTAAAACTTCTGATAGCATGAAAGCAGCACCAAGTTTTCAGTCTCAATGTTCTTTTAAGAATGATTCAACGCCAACATTTCAAGTGCATAATTCAAATGTTGATGCAACAATGGAAACACCAACTCATAGTGCTCCTCAAAATCCTAACTTGAGTATAATTCCCCTGCAATTTCAAGCACAAAACTTTGATGATTCAACAGTGAGACCAACTTTTAGCACAAATGATTGCAATTGGTCAACATTGGCAACACCCACAGAGGATGATCCCTTTGGACCATGGCCTAGTGCAAATACCCATGAACAAACACTAAATGTGCCAGTGCAAGAGGAAATTTTGCTGTGGCAACAACTTTGGTTGGAGCAACAAAACAAGATCATGCGAAACATTTGACTTGAATTTTCAAATAATGATTGAGCATTGAAATTTTGTAAATTGTGTACGTAAGTTAATATAATTACTTTTTTTTTTATCTGATTTTGTCTTTTTTTTTCCTTTACTTAATTTCTTGTATCATTTCTTTTATGTTCTATTTATTATAATTTTTTATTCAGACAAATATATAGGTTGTGTTTATTTAACCACGAAATTTATTAAAATAAACTGAAAATAGTTTATTTTGATAAGTTAGAGTAAGAAACTAATTGAAAAATAAGCTAAAAGGAGCTTATAGGAATCATAAATTGTTTCTATAAGTTGTGGATAAGCTCTTCTAGACATCTCATCTCTATATTTAGAAGGTTGTGCTAAAAAAAACAAATTGTATTGTTTCATACATAATTGCATTCTTTAAAATGATTCCTAAATTGGAACTAGCTAGACAAAATCATGACAGAATATATTTATTTATAGGAGATTTCTCTTGGACCTTCCTAATTTAGGGGGTTTTAGAACCCCCAATAAACAACCAATCATGGTATGAGACCTTATTTAAACATTTGGTTTATAGTTTTTTATTTATTTTCAATTTAGTCTCCATATTAAGTTTTGCAAAATATACTCCTGCTCAATAGTTTGACTCAACAATAATATGTAATTTTGGGATGTTGTGCACTGCATGTGTAGATGAATGAGCGGACACTGCCATTAGTTTTGTTACTAATTATTGAAGTTACGTGGTTGTTTCTTCGAAATCAAAGTGCTCCAGTTTTGTGTTTCTTATTTGAGAAATTTGTCTCCTATTGTAGAAATTTAGGTTTTACATTAACAAGAATTTGGAAAGAAATTACTGTGGAAATGAATTTTTGATTATTTTATTTGAGAATTGTGTTTTCCTTTACTAAGAGTATGTTTGTTTGCATCTTTAAAAAGAGTGTTCTCTTTTCTAAAAACTAAAATTACATGTATTTTTAATTTTTAAAAAGAGAAAACTCTTTTTAAAAATATAGACAAACATTCCCTTAGTCTAGGGTTTTCAATACATAAATTTTGAAAAATTTCATTTTGGAAATGATAAATAATTTAACTTTTTCTTTACAATTTGTATTACTTGACTTTTGTTTTAGGATTAATTGATTGCTTGTGATTTTCATTTCTGTTTGTGAAGCGTGACTTTCTTCATAGAGAAAAGTAAAAAACCAAGTTCTAAGAATATTTCTTCCCTCCTTACCACATTTTTCATATTTCTTTTCTATGCTTCTTTTCTAGATTCAGTTGGTTCTATTTCCAACATTGTTATATACAAGACATAAATTCTTTTTTTTTTTTTTGCTTTGTTGGTTTATTTTGTTTTGTTTTTTTTATAAATTATTCTGCATGCTGGTTTATAAATTAAAATTGTTGTTTTGCTTTACTTTGTAGGTCTGTTTTGTTGTTTGTTTACAACTTTTTTTGCTTCTAGGTTGTAAATTAAACTTCTTGTTCTTTAATTTTGCTTTGGTGATTTGTTTTCCTATTAGTTTATAACTTATTTTGTGGTTGGTTTATAAATTAAAACTCATTTTTATCATGCTTTGCTTTCTTTGTTTGTTTTACTACTAGTTTATAACTTGTTTTGCATGTTGGTTTATAAATTAAAACTTTGTTGTTTTGCTTTGTTTTGCTGATTTGTTTTGTTGCTGTCTTATTTTTATAACTTATTTTGCTACTAGTTTATGACTTAGTGGCACTAGTACAAAAAACACTTTTTACAACAGGATTTTACATCGATTTTTGTGAAATAAGGTAGAAAAAGATGAGGTGACATTTTTGAAATTTTTGCAAACTTTTTTACATTAGTTGTTAAAAGAACTGATGTAAAAAGTACTTTCTACATTGGTTGTAAAAATAATCGATGTAAAAAAAATATGGTGGGATTTTTGAAATTTATGCAAACTTTTCTATATCAGTTATTTTTATTCTACATTGGTTGTTTCTGGGAACCGATGTAGAATCAATTCAAATTTCAAATTTTCAGATACGCGCCAGCGAAATAGCATAAATTGGAGACTCGAACACAGATTTTTCTTAAGTTTATGAAACTTCTATTCTGTTAGCTGGTAGACAAGGAACATGCAAAGGTTTTCTAGGTATATCAATTATTTTAATTTCTTTCATTTTTTTGTTATTTCACTTTTTGTTGTTTCTTCTTCCATATTAAACGATTTGATGAACATTGCATCTTCTTTATGTTTCAGATTCAAACAAAGATGAACAATAATGAAACACGATTAATACAATAAACACGACGAACATAATAAACACGATGAACACAATCAACACGACAAACACGACGAACATGAAGAACTTGAGGAACACGACGAACACAATGAATATGAAGAACATGACGAATACCATAAACACTGACGTTTATGAATTTTAATTTAACTTAAGAAAATATATTGATAATATTGACGCAAACGTTAAAACTCTTCGAGAAGAGAAATACTGACGTCATTAACGAAGATGAACATTAAGAATATTTTTTACATCGGTTATTATAAACAACCGATGTAGAAAGTCCTAGATTTTCTACATCGCCTATATCTACATCGGATACAGAATTGATGTAAAAGGCCTCTTTTAACTGATGTAAAAAGCCTTTTTACCACTAGTATGGTTCGTTATCTTGATGGTTTATAACTTGTTTTGTTGCTGGTTTATAAATTAAAATTTATTGTTTTGCTTTGCTTAACTGGTTTTTTTTTTTTGTACTTGTTTATAACTTGTTTTTCTTTGCTTTGCTATTATGCTTTATTGCTACACTTTGAATTGACATAATATTTTGCATGGGTTGCCAGATAATTCATTCTCTTTCTGTAAATATCAAAATAAAAGCCTATTTTTTTAACAATTTGTTATATTATTATATTATAAATGTATATAATAATATAGCATATTAAGAAAGAGTCTAATAATAAAATACTGTAAGCAAACATTGTCTCGTGTCAACTTAAAATATGTTAGTAAAACTTAAACTACACATAACACTTTTCAAAATTTGTTGTATATATTATTATTCAACTTAACACAATGAACTCTAAAATTATGTTCAAGAGTTAAAGTTTTTAAAAAAAACTAGGAATTTATATTATATTCATACTATTAAATAAAAGATTATTTCTTTTCTAATTAAAGCATTTTTTAAAATAGAATTTTGAAACAATTTCTATTTTAATTTTTTTTCTAAAACAATTTTTAAAATGAATGTAAAACAGAATTCTTTTCAATGTTTTTGGATCATTCTTTTTTATTTTAAATTTAAACTACATGTGTAAGTGACTTTAAATCTGTCTACGAATGTGAAATTGACTTGATTTAGAGTACTATTTCAAAATTTATTGACATTTATTTTTTTATCAAAATTTTATTAGTAGCCATAAAAATGTAAATGAAAAGTACGAGATGATGATAATGAAAGTGAACATGTTGATATAACACATGATGATTATAAATGAATAATAGACTTGAATCAGATGACATATGCCATTTGGAGTTTGGCAAAAAAAAAAGGAAAGTATGAATTTTTATTATTCATATGCTAGATGTCATGGCTTTGCTGTTAGAAATGATGAAATATAACAAGATACTAAGGAAAATGATCTTATAATGTGTTAATTTGTATGCAAATAGAGAGGGGTTGAGGAACAAAAAATACTTTATAAGGACAAATAAATCAAGGGAGCATAAACTAACTATCTGTACTAAGTGTGAAGCAAAGCTTCAAATATGCTTATATAAAATGGAAAGTGGTGTCCTTTGTGGCTCATCATAATCATGATTTAACACCTTTTAATTTTATCCACTTAATTCTTGCATGCCATGTAATAACTAATGTATACAAAATTCAAGTGGATAACTTGCATTCATATGTGTTAGTGTTAAGGATTTTTGACAAGTGTATTAAGCTTTCAATGTAATGTAAAGGGTGTCGTATTCACATAAAATGTGAATACTTAAGCGATTTCAGCTATTCAATTTAAAATCAACAAATTCCTAAATATTCACAAATATACAACTAAGCAATATTTTGGGTTTTTGATAGTTTAGTTCATGGAAGATAAATACAAATGTAAATGTAAATAAAAGCAAACTAAACTACTATGATAAGATTGAAGATTGGACTTCATCATCCTCTTTATATTTTGCTTCTAACACACATTAACAATTACCAAAATTCTATGATGCACTCTCATTATATTCACTCGTTGGATTCCTCTCACCCGAGATTTTAAGATATATTTATTGAGTGATAATTCCTTACCTAATCAACAAATAATTCATCATTACTAGTAAGAGTTATATTACATATAATATATTAAAATCTATTCCTAGAGTCCTAATCTATTGTGTGTATTTACTCCAACTGGGTTCTAAGGTAGTTTCCCAACTCACCCTAGATTCTCGGATCATAAATCATTCCTCATAAGGTAAAAACAAGCATTACAAGCAAAATAAACACACCCAACTCATGGCAAATGAACAAACATATATTAAAAATACCAAAACAATCAGAATATGAAGATAACATCCAATTCCTAGAATTCTAGCCATTCATGGCATACATTACAATAAGAAAATATAAGGAAAAGAGATAGAAATTAGTTTCCCAATGATTCTTGATCACTTTCCCAAGCTCCTCCACTATTCTGCAATGCCAAATTAGGTTAATGTATGTTGGGGCTCCAAGCCCGCTCCAACTCTCCTTTCTGAGCTAAATCATCAATCTATATAGGACAATAAGTGAATTTTTGCTCATACGAGCCAATTTTTGCTCAAATGAAAAATAACCTAAGAGCAAAGTTTGCTTCAAGATTTCTTGCTCAAGTGAGCCAATTCTCTTTCGAGCGATGTATGTTCTAGCTCAAGCAAAATATCAGTAAAAAATCTGGTGTGAATTCTATATTTTTCGCTCAAACGAGGTAATTCTTACTTGAGCGAGACTTGAAATTCTAGGCGACTTCAGCAAATCTGAC